AGCCGTGGTGAAACCTTACCGGCCCGCCGTCAGCGTCATGGGGACTCTCGACACTCTGCTGAAACCCTCACACACTCCCACACTTGGGTAGCCTCCGTTTGGGTTGCCTCCCGTCCATACTGCTTGGAGAGGCTCATGAAGAAGGTCCCAGGGCTCACCGAAGAGTCTCCTCCCTTTCCCACCCCAGCCACCTCACCCTTCCCCGCCAGGCTCACTCACCACAGTGGCACAGAGTTTTAGTTTAGGGACTCACCCATTCATTCTTCTTCTTTTTAAAACATCTGTTTATTTATTTATTTATTTATTTATTTATAAACAAGGTATGAGACGGGCTAATTTTTTTGTTTTTTGTATTTTTGATAGAGACAAGGTTTCACCATGTTGGCCAAGCTGGTCTTGAACTCCTGGGATCAAGCGATCCACCCACCCCAGCCCACACAGTGCTGGGATTACAGGCGCCCGCCACCAACCCAGCTAATGTTCGTATTTTTAGTAGAGACGGGGTTTCACTATGTTGGCCAGGCTGGGCTGGAACTCCTGGCCTCAAGTGATCCGCCCGCCTTCGCCTCCCAAAGTGCTGGGACTACAGGCGTGAGCCACTGCGTCCGGCCAGGGGTTTTGGTTTGTTAATTTTGATGACCCTTATGGGGAACAAATCTTATCTTTAAAGGTATTCAAATGATGTGCTTTTCCAAAGTTTCGAGACTGGAAAATATGCTGGGTTCTGTGTCCAGGGCTGAAGAGGATGCGACGGTGAGTAAAACTCAATCCTGTCTACGTGGGGGAGACAGACAAGGAAACAGGGAATATGGGGGCAGGTGTCACATTAAGGGATGCCTTGAAAGGACCCCTCACTCAGCCTGGGGGTCCTAGAGAAGGTGACCACTGAACAAAGCTTAAAGGATGAGCAGAAATTGGGTGAACGTGGAGGCTGGGGATGAAGAAGGGGAATCGTGAGCAGGGCCAGGATGGAGGGAGTGTGGTAAGGTGAGCCAAGGATGGCAGGAACTAGCCAGGGGAACTGAGAAGGGCTCCAATGGTGGAGGCCCTGGAGACAAATTAAGGAGTCCAGTGTAGGAGCCGTTAGGAGGTTTGAAGCAGGGGAGCCCGGGGTCCATGTACATTCACGATGGTCCCTTCTGAAGCAATACTCAGGAGGGGTGCTGGAAGGCTAGATGTGGGCTGCATGCCGGACCGACGGACGAGAAGTCAGGCAGGGACCCACATTCTGGGAGCGTGGTGGTCAAAACGCTCCAAAATATTCCCAGAAAGGCATCGCAGAGGCCTGTTCCCCCAGGGCCGCCACGTGCCACAAGCTTGGGCCCAGCCGCTGCGCTTGCTCCCTGTAAGGATGTCACAGCCAGAGGGCCCTGGTGGACTGGGAGACCCCGCCTCCGGTTGGGACCACCAGTTTCCTCCCGCTAGGATGGAGAGTGTGGCCTGTGGTGCTGGCGGGACTCATAGCAGACCACCTGGGAGAACAGGCAGACTCAGATCGGCAGGGCAGCCCTCCCTGCCACGTTGGGCGAGGGGAGCCCGTTCGGCAGAGGAGGCCGACGCCGCCCCAGAGAGAGGGTCTGAGACAGACATGGGGCCCTCGACGGATTTCCCGTTCCAGGCTCTGAGCCCTCCTGAGGGCCCTTGGACTCCAAAAGTGCGCTTGTGTCTCTATAATAAATGCTCACGTTTCAAATCCTTCCGCTGACCTAAGAGGGTTTTCATTCTTGCCATCAAAAATGGTGACTAAGACGGTGGCCGTGCCGTAGCCCCGATGGTCTGGTAAGTGGGTCTCTGTCCCCTTGAACTGGTTTAACACTCATTCCCAGGGTATGGCATGGATAGCAGAGGCAAGAAAGAAGAGGGGCCTGACTTCTTGCCTGAGGTTTCCCTGAGAGTGTCTGAGCATCTTGCCGGCCTGTTCCCAGCGTGGCCGCGTGAGGCAGCCAGAGGGGCCCAGGGGCTTTCTGGAGGGCAGAGTTCCTCCCCTTGCTGAGGTCTCTCCCTCTGCCCACCTCTTCCCCACCTTGGGGCTGTGGGGTTTGGGGAACATCGATCTTCTGGAGATGGTGAGTCAGGGTGAGCACGTGGCCCCAGGAGGTGTTTCCAGGGCAACCGGGAGCAGCTTCTCCTGGTCAACCAAAGAATTCCCCATGGAGGTCAGAGGGTGCGGGGGGTCAGCAGGAGCAGAGAAAGTACAGGTATGCCCAGAAAGATGGGAGGAAAAGGAGGGTCCAGGACCACCTTGGCCTCCCGTCCCCACTTCCAGAAGCCCTCCAGCTGGGTGACCTGCCCACCGCCCAAGGCCCTTAGTGGCCACCGCAGGGGCACCCATGCTTGTGAACAGTCCCCACCCGCCTGCGTGCTGGGCTTTTCCAGGGAATTCAGGGAGAGCAGTGGCTTCCTCGCCTCCTCTGCCCAGCTCCCAGGCTGGATCCTGAACCCCACCTGCTCTCCCATGCAGGGCTGGGGGTGGGAGGAGGCAGGGGCTGACCGGCGGGTCTGATGATAAATTGTTTATCAGGATCCCGCTGGGGAAGGGGAGCTGTCGTGTCCGCTCCTGGCTTGGCTGCTAACTCAGAATAGTCCTTTCTTCCATGCATCTATTTCTCCCGTCCGTTCAACAGGCAGATTCAGCATCTTCATCCGGCCCTGGGCTGAGGAAGAGGCTTGGTATGTTTTTGTTTATCCCAGGGGAAATCTTATCTTCAAACCACAGTGTTTTTACCATACACACAAATAAAAACAATAGCAGTAGCCAATGATTGGCTTAATTAGGACAATAATGGAGAAGAGAGAGAGGGTGGGAGTGGAGCACCTGGAGCCAAAGCGCTTATTTCCCAAGTCCCCGAGGGTTTTTAGCACTAACCGGGAAGCTGGGACCTGAATCCCCCACCGCTGGTGTGCTGGAGTCAGGAGATACAGAAACGCCTAAGAGACAGGTACTCAGGTGAGGTCTGTGTGCATCTTGCTGCTGATGGGAAGGGGGTTAGAAAACCATCCCAGGGGAAAGCGTTCTTTCTAACAGCATGAATTGGAGGGAGAAGGAGAAGGGAGAAGCAGTGAGGCCCTGGAGAGACCAGCCCTTCCTCAATGCAGCCTCTGGGGAACCAGGAGCCCCCAACATAGATACTGGGCTCAGGTGAGTCGGGAGGAAGGGCTGTGGGCGGGCCTAGGTGGGCACAGCCTGCACTGAGCTTCACAACACGGTCATAGGCAGTGTGGCCAGGGGCCTCTCTGCACATGCTGGGGTCGGAGCCCCACAGGAGGAGCTGGCCCTGGACCCTCCCTGGGGTCCACAGCCTGCTCCCACCAGACCTAGGGTGCCAGGACACCCCTAGACTGTTCTTCACTGTATCCCTGATCCTCACCTCTGAATCACCCTTTGATGGGGCCCCACTTCCTGTGTCTCCCCACTGTTAACTGGACTATGCCTTCTACCACTGTGTTCTCTCGTCCCCTGGCTCTGAGAAAGCCGCAGAGGCAGCAATGGGGGGTGTAAGAGCTCTCCTGTGGGCTCAGCCCTGATTCACAGGTAAGGCCCTAATTGCCTGATAACCCTACCAGGGACAGCCAGACATCCCTGAGCCACTCACCCACCCTGCAGACCATCCTGAACTATTGCCCTGGGCTGAGCTTAGGGGTCCTGGGAGCCACGGAGCCAGCCCTTCTCTCCAAGGCTCCCAGTCAGGGGCAAGGAGCTGCCATGGAAACTCACAAACTTCGATTACTTATGTAAATACAAGTAACACACGTTTCGTGCACAGCAATGAGGAAGTACACGTGAGCAAAAGAGAATGAAAAATTGCCGGCAACCCCACTGAAAAATGACCGCCGTTTTTCACCTTCACTGCGTGTACTGGTCTGTAATCTTCTTTTATTTTTTTTTAGAGACCGGGTCTCGCTTTGTCACCCAGGCTGGACTGCAGTGGCACAATCTTGGCTCACTGCAAGCTCCACCTCCTGGGTTCATGCCATTCTCCTGCCTCAGCCTCCTCAGTACCTGGGACTACAGGCGCCCCCCACCACGCCCGGCTAATTTTTTTTTTTTTTTTTTTTTTAAGTAGAGACGGGGTTTCACGGTGTTAGCCAGGATGGTCTCCATCTCCTGACCTCGTGATCCGCCCATCTCAGCCTCCCATCTGGTCTGTAATCTTCTATGTGTGGAAATGATCACCGTTTTACACCTTTACTGCGTGTGCTGGTCTGTAATCTGCTATTTGCACTTATGAGTGCATGTGAGTATTTTTCAGTCACAAGAGACATTTCCACAGCACGTTCCTTAGCAACTGCCCAGTGTATGATGTAAAAGGCTCGTTTGCCCGTTCCTCAGTGGTGGCTTTCAGGACTGTTTCTGATTCCCTCCAGCCCTTCAGTGAATTTTCCCCATGGCCTGCTCAGCTGCAGGCGACTTTCTGGGCATTGGGCATACAGCTGTTCACAAAACAGAGATCTGTGCCAACACATTTCTGGTCATATCCTATCAGTTCTTTCAACTGCTGACTGGATGAGGTACGCCAGGCCAAAGGGCACACCTCGGATTTGCCCTCCCAAAGGCCTGTGCCCGTCAGGGTGGGCCTGTGTTCCGGATCGGCCCGGCAGTGGGCACCGGGCATGACCTGCAGGGACAGCGCAGGTTCCAGATGAAGCAGGGAGAGCAAGCCTGGGTCCTGGCCCTGTGTGCCTGGTCTTATGACCATTTTGGCCAGGGCTTCACCAAGCAGCTGTTTTCCCAGCTCCCAGACTGGGCTGCTGGAGCTGGGCATGGAACAGAATATTTGAAATGGGGCCACTCTAGGCAATGGGATTGCCTAGAGTGGGAGCTGCTGAGGTACCTTTTGGACCCAGCTCAAGGCAGCCGTTGCCTGCAAGGATCTGGGTGGTGGGGAGCCCAGGCTTCCACCCAAGGCCACCAAGGGCGGTCCCAGCCTGGCCCTGCCCCTACCCTGTGCCTCCACCCCTGCCCTTCCTATGCTCCAAGGCAGGTAGGGAGGCGGGAGGCCAGGTAGCTCAGGAACCCAAACCTGTTGGGCAGGTTTTGAGAGCTGTGGAGAGAGGGACAGAGGCTGGAGAAGGATGCACGGCCTGCCCTGGGCTTGCCTGTTCCCTCCTGAGCCTGAGCCTGAGCCCCTTACCTTCCTGACCCCATGAGGCACGCACTGGCGCTGCTGGCTCCCCTGCTGGGCCTGGGCCTGGGGCTGTCCCTGAGTCGGCTGGCAGCGGGGGCCACAGACTGCAAGTCCCTTGGCCCGGCAGAGCCCCTGACATTCACCCCAGCAGCCAGGGCCCGGTGGCTGGCCCCTCGAGTTCGTGCGCCAGGAGTCCTGGACTCGCTCTACGGCACCGTGCACCGCTTCCTCTCCGTGGTGCAGCTGAATCCTTTCCCTTCAGGTGAGTGTGCACCTCCCCAGCGAGGGCCTCAGCATTTGGGTCCCCAGCCAGGCTTCCTCTGTCCCCCTCTACCATGAGATGTGCCCAATCTACCAGCAGGCACTGGCCATCTTCCTGGGGTAGAAGGCGGAGGATCCGGGGCGGGCTCCAGAACCTGCTGTGTGACTGTGGGTAGCCCTCGTTTCCTCTCTGAGCCTCAGGTGCTCTGTCTGTAAAGTGAGGAGGTCACATTAGAAATACATTAGACCTGACTCAGACATCCTCTGAGTCTAGTGGTGCTTGGGTTGGGTGGTCCAGGAGTGGCTGAAGGACCCTCCCAGTTTTGTCCCTTGCTGCTTGAGGGGAAGAACTGCCAGGCCAGGCCCCTTCTCCGCCTTTGCCCAGGCTCAGGACTGACCTGTAGGGTCCAGGAGGAGAGGTCTGCAGCCTCTCCTCTCTCACCCTCCTGTAGCAGTGCTGAGGTCAGGGCAGGATGGCGCAGGGCTGCGGTGATGCAGCCTCCTGCGAGGGTGCCATGGTGGTGGCAGGAGCCCTGCCTCAGAGCCACTTTGCCCTGGCAGTGGGGAGAGGACGGACACGGGGCAGGGCGGTGGCTGCCCCCAAATCCTCAGCTTGGCTCTTTCCGGTAGAGTTGGTAAAGGCCCTGCTGAATGAGCTGGCCTCCGTGAAGGTGAATGAGGTGAGCAAGCTGGGGAAAGGTGCTGGGGGAGGGAGTTCCGGGGTGAGCAGCAGGATGGGAGCGGAAAAGCCCCCAGTCCGCTCAGTCCACCAGGCGGGGGCTCGGGCATCCTCGCCCCTCCTCTGTGGGCCCTGCCGTCCGCAGACCTGGATGCAAACCACAGCTCTGCCATTTACTGGCAATGAGGTTTGCAGGGAGCTGGAACTTCCTGAACTTCAGCTTCCTCCCGTGTAAGATGGTGATGAGCAGTAAGAATGCGGTCGCCTCTGGGACGCGTTGCATGAGATGCAGGCCATGCCCCCGACAGCACTCCCACCCCTTCTGGTTTCCCTCTGGACTCCGGCAGAAGCCAGGGCTGGGCAGTGGGGGTCGGGTCGCCCCTCATGCCCTGCCGCCTGCCCAGGTGGTGCGGTACGAGGCAGGCTACGTGGTGTGCGCCGTGGTTGCGGGCCTCTACCTGCTGCTGATGCCCACTGCCGGGCTTTGCTTCTGCTGGTGCCGCTGCCGCCGGCGCTGCGGGGGGCGAGTGAAGACAGAGCACAAGGCGCTGGCCTGTGAGTGTGCGTCCCTCATGGTCGTCCTGCTGCTGACCACCCTCTTGCTGCTGTAAGGCACTGCCCAGAGCCCGGGCGGGGGGGG